CAGGTCACGGGGTCTATGTACAGGTACAGGGTAGGTCTAGGGATCGAATCTCACTCAGCACACAGGGTCAATGTACAGGGTTAGGGCACAGGTCTTGGGATCGAATCTCTGTGACTGCAGTACAAGGTCAATTGGGTGAAACCGTTTCACTCCCGCCGTCCTAAATTCGAGGTCCTCTTAGAACCCTCTAACTCAAGGCAGGACCTTTACCTTTTCTTTCCCTCTCGTAGGCGTGTACTATGTCGGGAGCGGTTTTTAAAAGCTCTGTTCTTGTAAACCACCGGTCGTCCTCGGGTTCCTGGTATGCGAACCTAACTTTGTACTAGGTAACAACTTAGAGGCGTGGAAGACTGGGTACGTGTGGAGGTGTGCTGGGATCTCTATCGTATACGACGGGCCGTCCTCTCCTCCTTTGACTTCTAGGACAGGCCACGGTCCTCTATATGCAGGTGAGAGTTTCTGCGAGATGTTTTCCTCCGGTGCGAACTCCTTTGACTTGACCCAGACTAGGTCACCTACTTGAAACTGTGAAGTTCGGCGGTGCTTGTTAGCCTGGTCTATCAGGCGGTGCTGGGCCTTCCTCAGGTTGTCTGTGAACTTAGCAACCTCTTGCTCATGATGGAGTGCGAAGTCTCGAGTACCGGGTGGAAGTCTCTGGATCTGATCCCGGTTTAGTCCTTCTAGTGGTCGCCTAGGTTTAAAAGACTCTCGAGTCCGACAAGTAGCTAAGTGAACGCTGTTGTTGTAGGCGCTTGCTACTTTGGGGAGCAACTCGTCCCAATCTAGCTGATCTGGTCTAATGTACATTCTGAGTAGCTGTTGCAAGATCTTATTCATCTGTTCTGTCTGACCGTTAGTCTCGGGGTGTCGTCCTAACGACATCAACAACTTAGACCCATATACTTTCATAAGATCTTGTCAGTGCTGGCTGGTAAACCGGGTGTCCCTATCACTTACTATGGACAATGGCATACCATTCTCGCTTACCCAGAAATCAAAGAACTTCCTTATAACTAACTTTGTACGGGCCTCTGAAGGCAAGGGAACAAATACTGCATACTTACTAAATCTGTCTACTATGACCATGACTTGAGTTTTTCCATGTCTGCTTTTGACTCCAGTATCCATGAAGTCAATGGACACTGAATTTCCGGGTGCGGAGGGAATAGGCAAGGGTCTAAGAAGACCCAGGGGGGCTCTAGTCGTAGCTTTATTACGCTGACACACTTTGCAGCTGCGCACATATTCTATGCAGTTTGCTTTCATGCCTGGCCACGTATAGGACATCATCAGGTTAGCTAAAGTCTTCTGCCATCCAAAGTGCCCTTTTGTATCGTGGCATTCCCCTAAGATCAGACTACGGATCTCTTCACTATTGGGGACGCATAGCCTGTCAGCGACATTAGTCTTTTCAAACAGTAGCCCATTCGTGGTCCGGTAGTGTGGCTCACTATCTGGGGCTTCCCTTACTCTTTTGAGCAGCTCACTGTAGATTGGGTCCTGTGCATAGGCATCTCTTACTTTCTGCTGCAGATCGGCCCCTATGTCTAGATAGTGTACTATCGCACCGAAATAATCAGAACTCCTGCTTAGCGCATCAGCTACCACGTTGTACTTGCCTTTAACGGGTTTTAACTCAAAAGTTGTACTGGTCTATCTCAGCAGCCCATCTGGTCAACTTGGGCGTCATCTTGGCCTGTGTCTTTAGCCATCTAAGAGTCTCGTGGTCTGAATAAACCTTGAAGTGCCTCCCAAGCAGGTAGTGTTTCCAGTGCTCTAGAGCCTGGCTGAGAGCGTAGAGTTCCCTCTCGTATATCGATGCGGCGACTTTCTCTGAAGGCAGCCTACGGGCCTATACCCGTTGCCGTCATCTTGCTGTAGAACGACACCTATGCCATACTGACTCGCGTCTTTAGTAACAACAAATGGCAATGATGGATCAACAACTTTGAGAACAGGGTACTCTATCAAAGCCTTCTTCAATTTCTTGAAGGCTGACGTACAATCCTGATCCCACTTCCAGATAGCTTCTTTCTTCAATAGTCTACGAAGGGGAGCAGCGATCGTAGAGAAGTTCCTCACGAACTTCCTGTAGTAGTTAGCCAGTCCTAAGAAAGAACGCAACTCTGTTAGTGTCTTAGGAGTTGGCCAATCTCTGATGGATGCTATCTTGCTGTCCTCAGGCGGAATGCCATCGCCGTCTAGTACATGGCCTAGGTAAAGGACCTGTGTCTTGGCCCATTCGCACTTCTTCGGGTTAATCTTAAAGTGAGACTCTCTGAGCTTACTTAGAATTTGCTGTTGATGGCCCTCATGTTCCTCGAGGGTCTTGCTGAACACTAGGATATCGTCTAGGTAAACTACGACGAACCTATCTAGCCAAGGTGTAAACAAGTCGTTCATACAACGCTGAAATGTTGCGGGTGCATTAGTAAGTCCAAATGGCATCACTATGAACTCGTAATGCCCATACCTTGTCCTGAACGCCGTCTTATACTGATCGTCAGGGTGGACCTCTATGTGATGGTACCCTGATCTTAGATCTATCTTCGAGAAATATCTGCACCCCTGAACTCGATCCAGCAAATCACCTATACGAGGTAATGGCTCTACATTCTTAATCGTGATGGCGTTCAGTCCCCTGTAGTCAATACACATGCGCAACTCTCCCTCCTTTGGGACAAACAGAACAGGTGCACCGAACGACGATGAACTAGGCCGGATCCATCCTTTTTCTAGGAGCTCATCTAACTGTCTGCATAGCTCCTCTACCTCTTTGGGAGACATCCTGTAGACTGCCCCCTTTGGCGTTCTACTGCCAGGTTCTATTTCTATTCGGTGCTGGATCGGTTTGGGCACTACCCGTGAAGGTGGTTCATATAGATCCTTATATTCTTCCAACAGACTGGCAATAGCAGGATGGATCTTTTCTCCCTCCTTAGGCTGATCGGACACTGGCCTAACATAGGCCATGAACACCTGCTCTTCAAGCTGCTCCTTTCGCACAAGCCTGGCGAATGCAGGAGCGCTGAGGCAGCAATGGGCAAGGGGATTATCTACCCCGGACTCATGGAACAGGCGGACTTTCTTGACTTCACTTGACGCACTAGGGAGCGTACACTCATGCTCTCTGAGGTGAAGTGTGGCTCCTGCTGCCTCTCCCCAATTTGTGCCTAAAACTATGTCAAACGGGAGACTCTCTTCTACAAGGAGGGTCAGGGAGTGCAGTACCTTCTCTACCTTGCCATCTTTCTCCAAGCGAAAGTAGGCGTGAACCCCCTCAACATACTCTTCGACGCGCATCCTACTATTGTCTGCGAGGATGCTGACCACAGGCTCTTCTAGTCGTTGGACCTTTAGGTTCAACTTCAACTTCCTCAGCGCCTTACGACTAATATAGCTCCTAGTCGCCCCGCTGTCTATGAGGGCTCCTACTCTAGCTCTAAATATCTCTACATCTGCGAGGATTAGCTGTCCTTTACTATCCTTCTTCATCTTGGCCCAGGCTTGCCTCTCTCTCAGTTCATCGGCTAAGCCTGTGAGGGAAGCGCCTAAAGAGACCCTAACACAAGCGATCTCTGGACAGCTTACTAGACGCTGGCCTGCAACCTCTGCGATGGAAATATGTGGAGTGGGAGACTCTACTTCGTTGGCACGCTCAGATCCACATACTCCCGAGGTAGGGGCAGTTGCAACCCCTACCGGCGACTATCTTTTGCTGCCCCAGATGCAGCACGGTCCCTATACTTAGGACAAAATTTGATAATGTGGCTCGGGTCCCCGCAGAATACGCATTGAGAACTATTAATACGTTCTTGCCATACCCTTTGATCTATACCCAGGTCTAACCAAGGTCGGCCGGCCTGGATGCCACCTTCCTTGTCTGGGAGGTGACCGACTAGAACTCGGACGGTTAGACGGGGGACCTCCCCTTCCTCCCGCTTGGCGGTTGCCATAGCCGCCAAACCCCTGGCCGCCCTGCCCTCGGCCACCCTGGGCCCAACCACTTGGGCCGGACCGTTGTCCTCCTTGCGGCCTCCCTCCAGCTGCGACAGCAGCGTAGGTTCTCCCCTGGCCTGCGCTGTTGTCCTCCTCTAGGGAACCTCCTCTGGACCACCTTCCTCCATCGTTAAGATCAGACTATCTTTGGCCTTGATTTGGCTTGAGATGGTGCGTCCCTTCCACGTTTTTCCCTTAGACAGATCCTTGTGCCAGAACGTGGTAACTGGCGACGCTTGGGCGGCAAATGCAACTGCCTCCCGACTAAGTGTATCGTAAGTCATGCCCTGCTGATTCTTCTTCTCGAAGAAGTGTCCCTGAATATTTTCAGGCAGGGCGCGGTAGAAGAGGTTAAGGAGTTGCACATCAGTGACTCCATGCCTAGGGACCGCAATCAGTTCGTCCATAGCGGACTTTAGCGCATGCACACTCTTCCACTGGCGAGTGTGGATCATTTGGAGTTTGTCTGAGGCCTTAAGGCACCGCGTGACATCAGAAAATTGCTCCCTGAGGGCTTTCAGGAAGTCGGAGAGGGGTGTCAGTCTGGAGTATGTAACCATATCGTTATCGCAGTTGGCAGTGTGGGCTAGCGACCTAGCAAAGATAGTTGCTTCGTCTTTAAGGGCCTGGAAGGCCACCAAAGTGTGGTCTTCAGGTGTGACTCCCTGCAGATACAGATAGGAGTGCACATTGGCCTCCCAGTTATCAAAATCTTCACCCTTCTTCCCACTGAAGGGTTCGGGAAATCGGACCTCGACTTTCTCGCGAAGCGGTGGAGCCGGCTCCTCTTCCTTAGGGGCCGCTAGCTTGGCGCCTTCAATGGCGCCAGTACAAAACTCTTGGGTCCTATTAATCGCGATGTGCACTTCGGTCAGCAGGTGTTTCATCATGTCGCACGCGAAGTCCTTGAACCCCGCGCGTATCGCGTCTATCTTGATGTCTTGACTGCGTTCGTACTGCATTTGTTCCCGCTGTGCGACTTATAAAGCCTCTACACTTTGGATCAGCGTATCTAGCTTGGTTGCTAGCTCAGTCTCCGCTCGGATTTTCCCCATCCTAACTTCCGCCGCTCTTAAGTCCTTGTCCGCCCTCTCTGCCGCTTCCAATCTCCTGACCCTTTCTTGGGATAACCGGTATCTCCATGCCATCCGCTGTTCCTCCTCCTTTGCCCCTCTCTTTATTGGATCCCTCTCTGCTTCAATTTGCCTCCTGGCTGCTTCTCTTTCTTCCTGGGGTACAGCCATCTCAGCCTCCTGGTCTTCCCCTAACTTCAAATGTGCGGCCCACTCCTGCGCCCTTTCCGCAATCTCCGCTTCTTTACTTGTGCGTCCTCCTCCTCTTCTCCTCTCTAGCGGTCTTTCTTCTTCTTCTTCCACTTCTTCTTTTTCTTCTTCTTCTTCCGCCTGAATAGCTGCCATCTTCTCCTCCTGCTCCTTCCATCTTTCCATCTCCTCCTCCATCTGCCTCTTCTTTGCTTCCTGCTCCTCCAGCAGCGCCAACATCTTAGCCTGTCTGATTAGTTCCCTCTTCTCCATCTTCTCTTTCTTCTCACGCAGAAGGGCGGCAGCTCTCTCCTCCTGCTCTTTGCTGTAGGGGGTGGTAACGGTTCCGGATCTAAGGGTCACCATGTTGACAGCGCACAATTAACAACAATTCCACACCTCAACACTTATACCGAACAGGTTACTTCTACTTCGGGGATTTGGTTCACTACCCGAACTAAACTCGCGGTTCTATGACCACACACACAGAGACCTAACACCCTAGACAGTAGTGACAGGGAGATAGGACTGACTGTCCTTGACAGACTCTATGCCAGCAAGTACCGGGGTGAAGGTACACACTCACG